ATATAGGTCATATTATTATGCTTATGTACAACTGACCCCTGTGTCGCGATAGTCGCGCTCGAGAAGGACTCAGCGGTGGTTCGAATGAACGGACGCGTCATCTTGACGCTTTCCATAGAATCTAGTAATATAACGGTATAAGTTGTAGTTGTTCGTGTCGTAATATTGGAAGTGGCGAAAGGTTACTTACAAAGCCTAAATGTACCGTGGTTTTTATGACACAGAGGGGAAGGATAGTAGAGCAACGGGTCACAGGGTGAACAATTGGGCAACCAAAAATAACACGACGACAAGGTATCGCACTTACTGTAGTACTACATGTGCGGTGATTGTGGCTAGGATCGTGGTAGTGTCGCTGTTGCTATCGACATATGTTATCTATGACGTTGTAGTGTGTTCAGCTCAGTATATGATTCCCGTCAATTTGTTTACGGATCTCCGAATGCGCGTGTTGATCGATGCTGCAGTTACGTTATTATCTGTCGTCGTATTTTTCGCTACGCTCATTGTTTTCGTTCTTATAATTATTTGAAGTAATTATGCTCTTCATCATCTCTCTCACCGTTTCGCAATTGTTTCCCCTCGCCTTCCCAGTGCACCGACTACGTGTTTTCCTCCATTGTCTATTACCATTGTCATTACCGTTATCTATTGACTTGCTGATGTTTTATAAGCATATTGTTGTTTTTACTGGTAGCAATCTATTCGAATTGGATTCAAGTGTCAGTGAGTATTTCCTTTGACGTCTGCATGTTTATGTCCTGTTCCCGTGTGTGTGTGTGTGTGTGTGTATATATAAATAATATAATAACACTGTATCGGCATAATTAATACAGGGACTCGTACACACGAATGTTAATGCATGTATCGACCATGGACACATGCTAGAGGCACCGATATACACATGGCAACAATATGATTGTAGTCATTATCACCAGTATCATAATCAGACTGCTAAAAAGATTCGATGCAACGCTCAACGTACAAACTACGAACTATTATGATTTATGCCGAATTACTAACGCGTTCCTCTGTTGCGTCTGGACGTTTTCACTGTTCAAGGTTGTGGCAATTTACCATGTTGTTTGTTCTTCATAGAAAAATCTGTTCATCGATTACGTTGTGTACATTTATAAGGTATTTTGTTGCTAAACCTTACCACGACTCGTCTTGTCAGTGATGTCTTACGGCCACCGTGTACCCTGTCTCGCATCTTGTTACACACACGACCGTGCCCCCGAGTCCATCGCGCTCAAATGCCAAAGAGATCAAACAAGTTGCTTGCCTCAACAATCTCTCATAGTCATCAGCCTTCGCAATTATAAGTACTCCTTTTCATCTGTACAAACGACGGTACTTTGCCTCTTCCTCTTCAGGCAAACACATCAGGTCTATTCGCCCATCTGCCGCCTACTCTGTATGGCATACCTAGAGCCGTGAAGCGTTCCGCGCTTTTACGAGAGAGACTGCATTTCATACAGAAGAAATATGCCCGCTTTTATGTATGGGTGTATCATATTTATATAATATATATATATATTTATGTTCATATATACGTACTTGTATATAAGTAGCAAGCTGATTGTTTGATGTTTTACGTTAAGTATCTACAGACGAGACCATTGGATGGATGATATTTTACATACACTAATAACCATTATATATGTATATATATGCGTGTGTGTTTGTGTGTGTGTGTGTGTGTGTGTGTGTGTGTGTGTGTGTGTGTGTGTGTGTGTGTGTGTGTGTGTGTGTGTGTGTGTGTGTGTGTGTGTGTGTGTGTGTGTGTGTGTGTGTGTGTGTGTGTGTGTGTGTGTGTGTGTGTGTGTGTGTGTGTGTGTGTGTGTGTGTGTGTGTGTGTGTGTGTGTGTGTGTGTGTGTGTGTGTGTGTGTGTGTGTGTGTGTGTGTGTGTGTGTGTGTGTGTGTGTGTGTGTGGGTAACGGTTATTAGTTCTAGCAAGTCTTTTTAGGCTTTGTAGTTGTCTTTGTTCTTCGTTCTGGAATTGAAACCCGTTCAATATCATTGCCTCTATAATATATAGTAACCGGCAATGAGTTTATGTAGACTGTGAATGCTTTCCGTAAGTACTCTGCGTGTGTTTATGTTCGAGTCATAATTATTTTCCCGCAAGTCGTACCTCTTTCACCTAGCAACGCTGAACGACGCGTCATCATTCGTATCGGGCATACATTGCCGGGCCATTGCAGGTTGGTTTCCATTGTCGCTCACTATCATTGAGTAGTTTCTTCTAGAGTTCACTATTCAAAATTCCAATGATGCTATTTGATGTAAGACCAAATGTCAGCGATTTCATTGTCGGCAAGCGACACTCCCACAGAACAAGTATATGCTGGTCTTGGCCGCTTCAATTGGCTCGGACTACTCTAGGCAGATCCCTTTAACCAACCAACAAAATGGTTATAGTTATCTGATCTAATGGATACTATTGTAAATCCATTAGATATACTGATTTGTCGAGTACCAGATTTAATACGGTCGCTACTAAGGAATATTCGAGGTGCATACGACCATTCACAAGATGCTAGCTTATCCCAGTGTCAACAAACGTCTCTCTTTCTCTTGAGCTCATAGAACGCTCACCGTTACAATCAACATTCGATAGAAATCTCATGTCTTTATATAGTACGGGTACGGATATCGATGCGTAGACAAAACGCAAACATTTTGAGTATGCGATCGTTAATCTCACTTCACGCAGGGAGCCAACAACATCCAAAATGAACACGCACCGTACCGGTAAGCTTAGCCCGATGCTGTCACTGGATAGCAACAATTTTACTATCTGACCATCATCACAAAAAGTCACAGAATGGATGATATGCGACGTAAACGGGACACGTAGATAATGGTCGCTTGCTAAAGTATATACGGGAAATAAACATCCCTCAATCTGTATCACACGCACACTCTTGCCCCTCTTTCCTTTTCTCTCTATCATTCACTGACGAACTATCTCCTCAGCCTTACCATGGTTCGGGTAGATATCACAGCAGTACACTTCAAATGCCTTGAGATTCACGTCGTCTGACTTCACCTCTTTCACTTTACTCTACCTCGAGCTTAACACTGCCTTCAATTACACACAAACAGATACTTTCGACTCGTCGTCAAACTATATCGTTTGTTAGTCATCCTATAGTTTATTAGTCATTCTCACTTTCTGCCTGCCATAGCTTTCCGTCTCATTATACACACACCGTTCAGTATTAATTCTACGTTCTGGTCCGCTCGTAGTCATCCTTGCCACCAGGGAACGGTGCACGTTCTCCGGTAACGCCCGGTTTTCACTAGCGCCATTCTTATTGTCTTACAGCTTGTTTTTAATCAAGGTCAAGGCTTCGTTTCTTTTTATTAGAGAAAAGCCTTCCTTCGTCAACTTCGCACGTATCCTCTACGAAGGGCCCACCGTTATGTCGTGACGAGCCCGCCTTTATCACTATCGTGTAATGATCGAATACCTTCGCAATATTCGCGAAGTGCGTTCGCCTGTCGTGCTTTGGGAGTATCTGCTTCGATGTTGTATTCCTTTTGCATCTGTTGATGTTTTTTCATGCTGACCGTTTTTTCCCCCCCCCCCCCCCACAATTATCAGCCAATTGCATTTGCTTCGAAATTTGTTCTCTGCGGAATCTGTCACAGTATCACTGTCTCTATGGGCAGCTGGCATTGCCTGTGATGCCACTATACTCTGTATTAATTACGATTGTTATTGTTGTCGATCTCGACGCTCTTGTGTTGTTCTCAGTTGTATTCATATTTGTTGCCTTTGTTGCCACCAAACAGTGAAATTGAAAAGAAAAGGTGACGTTGGGCTTTCTTTGAGCAAAGAAGGCATCAATATCAATCCTAAATATATATATATATATATATATACTTTTTTTTTGAGAGGCCAGAACGCATGAAACTATCTTGTTTTGTAGTTCTTTTTGTTAAATTGTTAGACGGCAGACAAACCGAATCCAACAGTTTATATGCCGGTTCGCTGAGTAATTAACCGGTCGGAAAGGACATTGTGTCTATAAATCCCACATTGTTTTGTTGTCATTGCGTCTAGGTGAAAGCATCTGTTTTTCTCCAGCTTTCGATAGTTCGGTCTGTTTTAATTGAGACAGCCTGATTTTAACTTGAGCTTTGCTGTAAACCATTTCGAGTGGGGCGTCGTCCCCAATTGAGGTTCCCGCCTCACCACCCGCGTCGGCTCCGGCAACGCCGCGCACCTCATCCTCTTCGCCTGTTGTACTCGACGATGCAGGCGACGTCAGCCTCATGGATCAGGACCAGCCTGTGTCCATAATAGTGAGAACCGGCGCTAGCGAATATGAGCTGCCATGGGAGCAGCTAGAATCTCTTTTCAAGTAAGTAACAGAATAACACCCTCACTGTTCTCTGTATTCGAGTAAACGAATAGTTCACATTTATGAGACTTCAGTTTATATATATATATATATTGCTGCGCGGTTGGTTATGGTCTTTCGATCGACTACGATGTAGCACATTACTGACGACCATACGTTTCCTTTTTTCAGATTGTGTGCCAAATGCGGTGGTCGTGTGGATGACTCCGCTGAGGACGCACACACGGAAGGCTGCGCCCTTACCCGTCTTGCTGTTACGGACGGTAGCAGTAATGGAGCCAGCAGCAACAACACCAATGTGAACCTGAGTAACGGGGGTAATGGTACGGGGAAGTCTGTAGAGAACAGCAGTCGAGCGCCCATTACCCTCGAAACGCTCTGTCAGCTGGCCAAGGCGCGCCGAAAGCACAGCAGTGAGAACAGCAGCTCAGACGCCTTCAACTCGGAGAGGTGACTTACACTTAACTCGGTGGAGATACAATCGTCAGATTTAGAATTCGAAGCAGCAGCAGCACGTACCTCAGCAACAATGACCCTAACAGCAGCCATACAGTTCCCAGCAAAATCAGAGATAACAACAACAACACCAACAACAATAGCTATACCAGAAGTCCAACCGAATACCGATGCAGTCGCTTCAAAAAGGATAATGACAGAATTGAGGAAGATGACGTTGTCATCAACAAATGACGAGGTTATGCAGCGAGGCCCGATCGTGATCGATGGCGTCGAAATGGATCGGTTCACACAGCCATTAGCTGATGGTATCGTTAGTTCAGCAGAATCACAGCCAGTCTCGCCAGAGTTAGTTCGGCCGTACAAGAAACTGCGTCGCTTTTTGCAAACCCAACAGGACAACAATAGTGACAATCGCATGCCCTTGCCTTCTGATTTCTGCAATCAGAAGGAGTCGGTGCTGGTTGGTGCCGCAGCACTGCACAACGGTGGCGCTAACAACAACGAAATTGACAACGATACGATCATTACCAACGGCAACAAAAACAGCGGTGGTAGCATAACTGCAACAAACTTTAATAGCGTAAACAGAAAGACCAATAGGCCGCTTATACCGGCCTATTTGCCGAAAAAGTTGCGCGGCCGAGGACGCTCACTAGATCTCGGCAGAAGCGGTAGCGTTAGTACGAGCCCATCGGAGAGTCCCGTTGAAAGTCCGCTAACAGACTGGAGTCGTGACGATGTCACTCAGGAGGTTCCTGGGCCGGGCACTCGCCCCTACTGCATCTACGACTAAGCAGCGGACACCGCCACGGAGCGGCCAGCAATAGCTCGAGTATCAGGAACAAATTCATATTTTACTAATACTACGGCTGCATATTGGAACAACACAGCGACAGATCGGTCGGCCTGCAGTCGATGGCCTACGACTACCAGCGACTTATTTAATAGCTCTGCGCTATTCAATACAACTTCCTAACTCTCTCATCATCACTACCACCATTTAATGTCTTGTATAGTATATAGTGCTATAGCAAACGATGGCGTGTCGCGCTTTTAGTGCCACATCTCACGTGTGGCCTACGCGGACGAGCGGTTAGTGCTAGTCCAAGCAGAGGGGATTATGGGAAATACACAATTATGACTGACCACAATCAAATGACCGTATTTCACAAGTGAAGGAAACAACACGATCGATGAATGAGTACGAATAGCTGAAAACAAATCATATTCCTATACAGAAAATAAGATACTATTGTGTATTATTTTTGAATGAACCATTTTTGTTTTTTGTATTATTGGGTTGTGTGACGTCCTCATCCGTTGGTGGCCACTGAGCCAGGCGCTGTACATGGGCAAATTAACCATTAAAAGAAGGTAGCAACATCCTGTACGTAGAGACATTGCAGAAAACATAACAGAGTATTGTTTAGACCCAAGTTAGCGGTGATTAGATATGGAAGCTGACGTCCCTCTCGGCGAAAACTGGTACTACATGAAAACGATAAACGGTCTAGAACATGTTCAGCTCGACGCAGTGTGTTCATTATTAACTATTCATTATACGATTCAATAACGAGCATCGTCTAATTTGAGTTTAACAAGCTTGTTTGTTGTTCCGAGTGAGGGTGTCAGCCATCTTGGCAAGCCTTTGCACTACCGTTGGTGACTAGCACGTTCTCCAAAACTGAGACAAATGACCAACGGATTTTCGTACCGTTACGTCGTTCGTTCAATTCGTTACATCCTCAAAACGGCAGTGCTTCTGCAAAATATTTCTACAAAACATAGATAAAATGTTGAAAGACAAAAAGATTCATTTATTCTGGAATACCATACACGAAGATGCTGTATCTTATCTGCCTTTTGGTTCCTAGAGACGAAGAGACACCTTCATCGCCTGTATGTGTGAAGACTAGCAGCGAGCATATTTATGAACGCGCCAGGAAGCGCGATTATCCATCGCTCGGATTGGCTTACACCTGTAGCTCGAAGTAACGGCGCGAAAACTCCGAGGAACGGGCATGTGCTAATAGTGCTACTACAGATAAAATGAGATTCGTATCATACAGCAAAAAAAAAAACAAAGGAATAACATGACTGGTCATCAACAGCCACACACACACACACACTACGCGCGTATATATATATATATATATATATATATATAGAATAGAAGACGATGCTATAGGAAGGGGGACGGAAAAATCATCTATATACATATAAGATTATTTTTCTTCGATCTTTGAACGCATTATGGCAATAGCCATTTCAATAGTTATTATTGCGATTCATATTATTCAAATACTTGTTGTTGTAATTACTCGTTGTAACGGTAGCTGGGAATGCAGGGGGGGATTGGGTGGGACAAAATGGGGGGAAACCATATAATTTCCTCGACATGTGTCAAAAACAGGAAAACAAGACATGAAAAACAAGAAAATGTGTATACACAGTCAGATCAAGCGGTAAAATAACTGAAGCAGCGATGATGAGTGTACGGCCGTTGCAGATCTGATTATGAACATAGCACGTGAAGAAGGGGAGAACTCCCCTTTGAAAGGGTAGAACTTATACGATGACTTTAGGTCAAAGTGCCAATAGCCTCTGAGCAAATCTAACTATCACTGGACAACTGTAAAGATGACGGGAGTAATGAAAAACGGACAACATTCATTATCTTTAAAAAAAAACAAGTTGGTCACAGAAATGTTCATACTAAAGCACTGATAATAAGCTAAAATTCTAACTAAGCAAATACATGTAAATGATTTACAGCAAAATTCAAGTTAAAATTCTAACTAAGCAAATAAATGG